GCTAGAAGGACAATATATTTATATTTTATTGTATATTATTCGTTGTCTACTTTAATGTGGACAGTACTGATTCATAATGCAAGCTTGAAATGGGATCTTTCACTTCTATAGTGTATGTTCCAAAAGTTGATGTTGTGGTTCTTTCGTCAGAAACTATCTTGATATTTACTATTCATAATTTGTTTGGAGTGGCCAAGTATTCTGTTGCAGTCTTGATAAACTATTCGATTGTTCCTTCTCCCTGGAGCATTTAACATTTACCTCGCATTATTATCAGGTAATGAGCGGTTTCGTCATTCAGGAGACTGTCAAAATATTATCGCAAACTACACAAAGGATTTGAGGTTTTCACGAAGATGTGAACATTGATAATCTTCTGAGTTGTTGTATCTTTGGCTCTGTGCCAACGTTTCAGATGAATTTACTGCTTCCATCAAAAGGGCTAAAGTTCGGAGATTTCGGAGGTGGATGATTTATGAAGAGATATATATCATTCAGACACAGGGATTGGTCAATTAGAGACCATAGGATTCAGGAGACAAAGTTTTATCCAAGCAGGAAGGTGGGTACAGGACAAAGAAGGAGAAATAGTGGCCCTTTTAGGGGACCAGAGACAAATGTCTGATCAGGAGGAAATTTCTTTCTTCATTCTTTTACGGTTTGAATGAACTGCTTCCATGACTTCCTCAGGGGGAACACATTCCTCTAATGTTTCTGGAATGGAGCTCAATCCATGCCACTTCCCATGTGACCCTGTCCATGTGTCTGGATAGCCTGGCCAGAATTCTAGTGCTCTTTAGCAGGATCTGGTGGCCTGTGTTGATACTGTGTTTTGACATGCCTGACTGATCCAGATGGTAAAGCCAGTTGTAGTAAAGGTGCTCCTTCACCATTGTTTTAATGGAACAGCTAGTCTGCTGAATATAAACCTTCCCACACTCACATGGGATGTTATAACCCCTTGTATTTCAAAAGATATGTAATCATTGATGGACTGGAGGAAATTCAAGACTTCCCTTAGGGAGATACCTACCATCTTGTTGAGTTTAGACAGAATTCTACTTGTACATCCTGCCAAGGAAAACTACCATATTGTTGAGTTTAGACAGCATTCTACTTGTACATCCTGCCAAGGAAAATAATCAAGTTTTCTCCGACCCATCAAGGATGACCTAGCCTTAAAACACCAGGTATCTGTAATATCCCCTGTGAGTGTGGGAAGGTTTATGTTGGACAGAGTATCCATTCTGTTGAAACTAGTGTCAAGGAACACCATCACTACAGCTCACCACAACTGGCTTCACCATCCACATAAGTCGACCGAGGCCGACCGGTGTTGACGTAGGTCACTAGGATTCCAGTAGCACAGACAGGATCATCAGGAAAGCTACAGAGATTGAGCTTCATCCTAGCAGCATCAATACAGAGGATATGTTCTTGCTGGGCAGGTGATGGAAGTCATAACCTGAAAGAACGAGATGAAAATTCTCTCCAAGGACAAAACTGCCTCTTGAGCTGACTGTCTTCCTTTCTTTGTCGTGTTCCCACCGTATAGACTGGTGCCCAGAATGGGTTCTTTACTAATGTCTCTAATTGATCAATCCGTGTTGTCTGTTCATCTCCTATCCCTAAATATACCGTCCACTTTCATACTGTCTTCACTTTAGCTATGATGGTAGAGGCAGTACTTTCATCTGAAACGTTGACACAAAGCCAAATACAGGTAGGACCCGATTTACGCCGGGGTTACGTTCCAACTACTCAGGGTCGTTAGCTGAAGCGGCGTAAATCGAGGAAGAATTGTAATGTATTGTACTGGCGGACGAGGAGAAAGCAACTGATGCCGACACTAGCGCCGCCTAGGTACCCGCTTCCTGTGCTGCGTTTATGCTTGCATTTTCAAATTTCCTTCTTATATTTGTTTCTTTTGTCATTATTATTTTAAAAGGGTGTTATGTGAAAAAGTGTCGTAAAGCGGGGCCTACCTGTATTGCACAGTGCAAGAACCTGCAATATCATTTATAAAGGATAAACATTATGAAATATAAATACTTTATGAACTTAATTATTAAAAAATATATGGACTGTGTCTGCTCAGAGATTAAGCGGTCAAGTCTTTCCAAATTATCAGTATTTTGTTCATGTTATTTTTTAGTATATATTTTATACCAAAAGTAATCAAATTCATTTGGTTTCTCATTAGTTTGTAGGCCAAGGAAAATATTGGGACTTAAAATTAATTATACTAATGATAAAGTATGTATATAAGTCATAAAGTAATTAATTTAATTTGAAAATGTTTGCATAAATTTTAACATCAGACCATAGATATCATACTATCAGAGTAGTTTGTGAGTTCGATCTCTAAGAACTTCAATGTTAATGGCTTATTGTAGGTCGACGGTGGAAATTCACTGTCAAGATAACAATCGGTCCATTACATTTTTACAGATTTTATCAGATATTTTAATCCTCTACACAATGTCCATAAAGTAGTAAATTTTTATATAACTGTTGTGAAATTCTGTCCTTCAGATGAATGTAATTATGATTTATAGAATTTTGAGTATTTTATGTTACTGGGATATAGAAGTCAAGGAATTTCTTTGTGTTTTGGTTAATCGGTTTCTTTAACTTAAAAATATCCCAGTTTTCACATCTTTAAGTGCACCAACTAGGGGGAAAAAGTGTCTTAAATCCTTCCACTTGTCACATATTAAATACTTATCATATTATACCCTTTGGATGAGAATTGCAGAGATATTCCAGTATCTTCCTGATATTTGCCTAAGTTTCTGAAATATCTTTCACCCGCAGTAATAGAAGATTGTTCACAGTCGCTAGCCTTGTTCATCATTATGATGCTATTTTCATTTCTCCTATAAATCTTATTATTCATTCTGTTGGCCACATTAGTATCACGTATTAGTGATAATTTTAATTAAACATTTGACAATTTCTATATACATCAGTGCCTCCAACAATATTGTATTTTCTCACTTATCTGCCAATTTTTCTCTACGTAGATCCTTGTAATGTGTACGTCTTGAATCTAAACAAACACGATTTCAAGACGTTTATGCAGCAGTATCTACCAAATGGTGATCTGCGTGACAAATTTTATCAAAAATAGAATGTACGAAAAACTTTTTAAAAAAAACTGGCTTGTTTAATGTATATTTTGGTAGCGCTCCACACATTGAATTTCTGTTAAAAAAAACTGGCTCGTTTAATGTGAATTTCGGTAGCGCTCCACACATTGAATTTCTGTTGTCATTTGTCAACCATATTCCTGAGATTATAAAGAGAAATCAAGTAAAGCACATAAAGGAAGAATTATATAGCATATATATTACATATATTTTGAATCCATTGCCATGTCTTAGTCCTCTTATTAATTGATATACTAGTATGGTTTTAAATATATCTTAAATTTTTAACATTTTTAAAACTCTGAATATTTATTTTTGTTGTACTGTAAATGGTTGAACAGAAGCTACTTCTCGTTTCATATAAATCAACCCATTATAAATTTAATTATGAATAAGTATTAATAGATCGTGCATGTAAAGTATACGCTCTGTGTGTTTCGTATGTATAATTGAATGTGGAATTGGAAGCAATTTATAAGGTGAGAAAATTGTATAATTATGAGGAAGCATACATTATTGTTGCAGTGGCGGCTCGTATTTATAAAAAAAAAAGTAGTACGGTTCTTATAGAAAATCTTAACATCATTTAATTTCATTGTAAAATATTTAATTTTGTATGAAGTATTTCATCAACGGAAATTGAAGGAGATTTATTTCACTTATCGTACGCCGTATTTTGCCATGGACTATTAACGGGTTAAGTATTTTGAAACATATCGTGACATTGTGTTTGTGTATTTAGACTATTAAATAAGACTCAAAGTCTACATTACTTTATAAACATTGTGTACTGTAGTATGGTGTTCTTTTTTACCTTTGTTTAGTGAGTGATGATGGTTTTATAAAAACTGAAACATGTTGTGTAAAAGATGTTCCAAAATGTAAATCGATCAATCGATATGGAACATCAATGATATTTTATTATCTTAATTATAAGAAATTTTAAATATTGTGATAAGACGGATTAAAATAAATAATTATCAGATTATAAGCAACATAAAATTATTTCAGATAATTCATTTGCATTCCGATGCATGTTATATAATGCAATAACATTTTAGATATTCAAAACAGAACTTAACTTGCCAGAATGTTTTCAGTCTCCCATTCCACCACATCCCACCTCAAATTTAAAACACTCGTATCTCCTCGGTGTTTTGCTACTAATATTTATGTGTTTTTAAAACAGATCAACAGTTCCCAGATGATTTATTAACAATTGACAGTGTAATATTTGTTATTCGTACTGGTTTATGAACACCAATGAATTCTATCTTGTAAGCTGTAGTTGTTTTATCAGTTTTTTCAAGATGCGTCAGATAATTAGGATGTTTTGTATTTTGCATAATATAAACAATGATCAGTTCATTCATCTGAAGTCAAAATTTATTACGCAATGATATACCGAAATACCAAATTATTTTGTGACTAGACTGCACGCTGTCAAGTTTTAAAAGTCGATTAGTTATTCGGCAGTATGCCAGGTATCTCATTAATGTTATTATATTTTTAAAAGAAAGATGCATTTATAATAATTTTGTGTTACTGATTTTGTACTGTATGGACAAAATTATTTTCAATTGGTTATGATTTAAGATAGTGTAGTTGCGTCATATTGTGACTTATGAAATTAAAATTAAATTATTTGGTTATTCCGTCAAATCACAATGTATTTAAAATAAGATAATTAAAATAATTAAAATATCATTCTGTGTTCCATATCGAATAATCGATTTACAATTGGAACAGTTACAACATGTTTCGGTTTTATTAAACCATCATCAGGTGTAAAATTATATTAAATTTAAAACTCAATTACAATTTTTTACAACATTGTGATTTGACGGAATAACCAAATAATTTAATGGTTATGATTTGTTAATTTCTATAAAAATTCCATGTGTATACATTTTTATTTTTAATTCCTTATGTACTGATAAGTCTTATTTATGAACACAGAGTTGACCAGTGAGTTTAAGTTATTGGTCTTTTTAAAATAGGAAGATGGCTGTCTTCTGGGTTGTAGCGCCGTGTAATCTGGTAGAAGTAGATGAGTACTTATTGCCCCGATGATGGAAGACGTAAAGGTCTCTGAAACATTAGCAAACTTCTACCAGGCTACATGATGCTGCAACCCGGACGTCAGACATCTTTGTACTCACTGCCATGAGAACCTTACAGCCTGCTTTATTTTTCAAATAGTCTCGAATTTGTAGCCGTCTAAATATGTGTCAAAGTCAACGCACTTTGTTGCTTAAGATACATTCACAATGTGTAAAATTTTGTGATTTTGAAACTTACAGTAGTTTCTGTAGAATTTGTAATGTAAATTTAATATTTAATTTTGATTATCCTGACAGTTTGAGTATTCATTCAGTAGGATTCGTGTTCTAAATTCTGTTTTGAAGTCTCGATCTTCGTTTATTGAAACCGTTTGGGAACTGCTGAGCTTTAAATTATTCTCACTGCTTTTCAAATAGCTTATGCTTCTGACCGTAAGTAAGCTAGTTACTAAAAATCTGATTTTTTAGTATAATTTAATCAAGGTAAAAATCTAACACGGAAAAAGAATTTTTTTTTAAAAAAATCATGAAAGATTTGAGTTAGAAGTATTATCTCAGTTTCTGAATTGTTTGGTGATGAAAATCTTTTTTGCTTCTCACAATAAAAATCTATACTGTCCAGCATTGTTCTTTTAAACTTTATCATACATTTTTTTCTGTTTTGTTCATTCACTTTCGTCTATAAATCGGCTTGACGGTGGGACATTTTGTTGTCATATTTAAGAACCACTGCTGTAAACTTCTCGTCTCATTCAAACATGTTCAAAATTTCCCACAACACGACTTAGGCTGGCAATAAACCGTCTGGACGGGTGTTGTGGTGATGGTTATCAGTGGTAGTGGTTGATGGTAGTAGTTGTGATTGTTATCATAACCATTGCAGTGCAGAGACTAGACATCAGATGGTTTTCCTGGTGGTGGAATCTGAGGATAGCCAGCCTTGGTGCTGGTTGCATCTTGGTCTTCCAGTGATATGCAGCTTGAACCTTGTTCTGCGTTGAGTTGACAGTAATAGCTCAATACTGTTACTAGCTGACATAGTCCTGTACATGAAGACTGCATCTGTCATATTATCGTGCTGAATTATGGTACTTAGTATGAGGATGAATCGTGGTGGTGGCTGAGAAGCGATGAACTTTAAATAAAAGTATGCCAAGTGTTGTTCGCGATTGTAATCTCGAGACTTGCGAGGAATTCTGGAAGTCCGAAGCGTTAAAGTCAGACGCTATCTTTCCTCCTTTACCCCCACGAGTCTCAAGATTACGGTCGCGAACAGTATCTGGGACTCATAACACACAGATGAAGGGACAGTTATGATGAAACATGTTATTTATTACATTATTTAGTGTTCTGTCTGACGTCAGGTCCATGTGAACAGGATCCTTCCATCCTTTTCTCTTCTCGGACTGGGACCTGTTCATATACGTTCTTGGCAGATGATCCAGAAGTGGTTTGCCATTGCCTTCTTCTGTGTGTGAATGGAGTAATTGTTGGGATGCCACGGAGGAAAACTCCGTGATGCCTAGACCACGGCCTTGCCCAACACAAGTTATAAATTCGGGCACCGCCGGGAATCGAACCCGAGACCCCAGGATTACAAGGCCAGCGTTCAAACCGCTAGACCACCGTGGCGGGATGAGACATGTAAGATATTAAAAAAACTGTAAGGGAATGATTATGATATGTATGCATTAATAATTGCAGAATAAAAAAACAACAACAACTAAGAAACATTAGAAAACATCAAAATATATAAATTCACTCACGATGAAAGGAAAATGATTTTTAAATCAGTAATACCATTCAAAAATGTTTCTATGAATTAATAAAGGTGTTTTAGAAGACCAATTTAATGTTAAAGTTTAGGTTGTAAGCAGTAAGTCAGGACATTCTGAATCATACTGGGATAAATAAAAATATTTTAGCACATTATATTTGATGGCTTGTGTTTCTAGAGACTTGATAATTGTTAGGAACAGGTAGTTAAGCCTAATGCTGTGTAATTCATGATGGTAATAATATGTATATGACAGAAAATCAGATGGCATCATGAAGGATTTGTCATAATGTACCTCAATTCATGAAATCAGGTCATAAAAATTAAATTACACAAAAAAGGAAAGGTAGAAACACATGACAGGAAGGTCGGAATGGAGATTGAAGCCGTGTGTACAACATTGCAAGATTTTGTAATAAGTAAAGAAAATTAGGTGATCCGCATTCATGGATAAACCTAGAGCAATGATTTACAACTGGATCATTTATTGTGAGGGCGTAGATGTTGGTAGAAACACCACGATTTACTTACGAAAGAGGATGAACATTCCGGTGGCAAGTAAGATGGCTACTTTTTTTTGATCCATTGGATTGCAAACAGTTATCGAGGCCAGCACGATGATGAGTTCGCTTATCGTAAAACCAATCCATGGCAGCAGACTCTGGCGTACGACCTGACAACAAGAAACATTCAGAAATCTGTATGCAAATAACTGCAGCAACTGGCAGTTATTTTTTGATGGATCACTGAGAAGATTCATGTAAAACAGTTGATGGAATTCAACTTGTTTTGTGATTAAAATAAGTGTTTTGAGTTTTTGTCAAAAAAGTGATAACTGAAATGTGATCGGACCTTTTATCAAGATTATTAGAAGAACTTGACGTTTGGAGAAAGTACTGTCTACTGTTGTGGTCTTCAAGCGTGAAACAAGGATCAAATGATCTGATGGAAAACAGCAGAGGCCCTGAGATTGAAGAACGCAGCCTCTCTGTGCGCGTGCGCTGGAAGCTGCTAGATGTTTCGGCATGTTTCATTTTAAAGAACTCGCTATCAATGATTTATGTTACAGTATCACTGAATCAACAACACTCAGGAGTCCCAAAAGATTTCTCTCCTTCATATTAATTTTTTTATGCAAATAATAGATTTGTTATTATCATTTTTAAGGATTTATTATCTGTCTTCACATCATAATTTTACATTGCAGTGAGGTTATATTTTATGTAAGATTTGAGGTTTTCACAGCGGTGAGTATGAAGATTTCTGTCTTCTGGGTTCAACGATTCATCGCCCTGATGACGGAGGCAGTATGACCTCTGAAATGTTGGTAAACATCGACCAGACTACACAGCGCAACAACCCAGAAGACAGAAATCTTCATACTCTGATGATGGAGGCAGTATGACCTCTGAAACGTTGGTTAACATCGACCAGACTACACAGCACAACAACCCAGAAGACAGAAATCTTCATACTC